CACCTCATGGAGGCACTGTTTAGACTTTTGTGGAAAGCCTTCTTGGAATGGCTGGCAAAGAAAGCTGGCGCGTTGGACAATGAAGTCAAGAAAGAAGTTTCGATGAGTAGCGAGTGTCAGAGCACCATCAAAATAGAAGGTTTTGTAAATGATGTTTGGTTGAAGTTGCAAGGCTGCGTTGAACCGCTATTTTCACTGATAGATACTTTCAATTCTGAGAGTAATGAGAAGTCCAAAGTGTTCAGGTTCTGGGTGGAGTACATTGTTATGGTCCTAGTGCTCTTACAGTTCATAAAGGCGGAGTGACTAGGAAACTGGAAGTTACATCTCTCCGCCACTGCTGCAATGATCCCCCACTTCCACTCTATGGATAATGTAAACTATGCACGGTGACTTCCAGTGTATATTTCGGACATAGACATGCTGGAATCAAATCATCGCGATGTTTACAGACAGTTCATTTCTGAAAAGCATGGTATCAGCCGTTCAAAACAACACTTTGCACAAGTTTGGACGGACATGGCCCTAGAGAAGTCTATCAACCTTGATTCCAAGTCGAAGGGTGACATTGTAGGCACCAGCACCAAAGAGAATGCTGTGGAATGGTGGTTCTTAACTGGTCATGAGCGAGCAGCCATAATGCCATTGTTAAACCAGAACACAAGAGGTCTGATTTTGAATCTCGTAGTTAATGGTGGAGCATGACGATCAAGAAGTGAAGAAAGAGTTGAATTATAACAGTCAACAAGATCATCTAGGGTGTTAGGACTATTCAGGTACAACTTAGTTTCCGCCAACTCATCATGTAGAGTTCGCCAATCTATATCTTTAATTTTCCTGTAGGACACTGTTTTTGTTGGTAAAGCCGGTTTCTCAACCTTGAGATCACATAAGATAGAACAATGGTCTGATAGAAAGTAGTCAGTCGTGGGAGCACTTGCCAGAACAGAGTCACATTGTCGAGTGATAATTAACAAAGTCACTCAAGCAAATGTGTGGAATCGAACACTCTGACAAGGCTGCGGCTACACACAAGGAAGCCAGATTGGCAAGATTAATCTTTTTCCCATTCCAGACAACTGAGCGAACGGAGAAGACATAGTGCCGTTGAGTAATCTTGCCAACAGAGTTGTCCTACCTGAGTCTGTTGCAATCAGACTTCTGGGTGCATCAGAACTATGTAGACAAAATATGACAAGCTTTATTTCAACAAGAATCCAAAGCAATCAAACCAATGTTTGGGATCCAGTGAAGAAGCTAAACATTTCAATGTTCAGTTCAGTGGCAAGAAAAGTTACAGTGGAAAGTCAGAAAGATAAGGTCTTAACCATTAACCCCACTTGCGAGTTGTTTGGTCGCCTCTTACTAGTTGCAAAGAAAAGAGAAGTCAACTTAAAAGAGGTTCTTTCCTTTGAGTAGTGCTCTGTGCCCATTGCTCTTGTACATCCTGATGGTAGCCTACGTAAGGTGACGAAACGTACCCTCATGAATCTCTCAGAAAAAGATGTCACAAGCAAGCAAAACCTACCATCCTCACAGCATCCAACAGTTGATGCAATGGCCTTTATTCAGATCTGTGGTATGGTTGTTGCAGAAATACGAAGCCATTGTTACATGCACATTACGACAAAACAGCTGCACCCGAGTAGACTTGATTTTTGACCAGTGTGGTCCGCTCTCCATCAAGGTAGGAGAGTGAAAAAAGCGACGAGAAGCAAGCTCCTTGGAAGTCAATATCCACAGTGGATCCACACCAATCCTGAAGCAATGGATAAAATTAATCTCTAACCCGAGAAACAAAGAAAGATTAGTGGAATTTGTTTGTGAGAATCTCATTAAGCAGCAACTAGGACATTTAGGCCCTTTCCACAAGGTTTTGTTGGCCGGTGGTGTCACGGATGGGTCCAGAACAGTCTCTCTAGCCCAGGGTAGCACTGCTGCTGTGCCACAACTACGTTCACACAATGAAGAAGTCGACACAAGACTTTTGCTACATGCTAAACATGCTAAACATGCTACATCCACGCACCCACAGATTGTGACACAATCTCCTGACACAGACGTCGCTGTGCTTGCAGTAGCCCATTTCAAAGACTTGGGTTGTCAGGAATTATGGCTCCAAACAGGAGCAAAGGACAAAGAGAGATACATACCACTGCACACCATTCATTCTTCCCTTGGTCCCTCTCTTTGCAAGTGCTTACCATCTTTCCATGCTCTGACAGAGTGCGACTCAACGAGTGCTTTTGCTGAAATAGGAAAGACAAAGCCCTGGAAGGTGTTAATAATGAAAGATCAGTTACAAACAAACCTCAGCAGCCTTGGAGAGAATCCTGTATTACAAGAATCAGTACAGAGCGTGGCTGAATCTTTCATATGCTCTGTTTACATTTCCGCCAAAAGCTTTTCGAGTACTGATGAGGCACGACATTTTCTCTTCTGTCAGAGAAGTCTGAAGAGTGAAGACCTTTCACCGACATCAGACTGTCTTTGCCAACACCTAAAAAGAGCAAACTATCACGCGTTTATTTGGAATAGAGCCCTAGCTCTACTTCAAGTGATCCCCTCACCAGAAGCAAATGGATGGAAGTTGGACAGTCGCGATCCGGTTCCTGCACTGACGACAAAGAGTCCAGCACGACCAGGAATAACTGAGTTAACGAGGTGTAGATGTACCAATTCTGGATGTACACGAAACTGCTTGTGTATGTCAAGTAACCTTGCATGTACAGAGGCCTGTTTGTGTATGGCAGATGAAAAATGCTGCAACCCCAACAATGAAGAGTTTGTTTCCTCTGATGAATCAACTGACTCTGAGTCTGAGTGAAAAAGGACCTTGCAAGAATATTGCCTGTCGTAAAGCACATGTCAGTTACTTATAAACCTTCACCTGGAGTCAAATTACTAGGCATGTTAAAAAAGAGAGTAGAACCTTGTAGAATACTTGGTTCTTATATCCATTTTCGGATTTTAGAGGCTGGGAAAAACCTTTAAAGGTTGCTATTTCAAAAGGATAAATGCCTCTAAAATGTGAAAATTTATCCTTCTGATGTGCATTTAGTGGATACTGAGGATGTATTTAGACAGAGATGGGCTGAGTCTTGTATTCATTAACTGCAATAATTTTACCGTATACCAAGAAGTAAACAATTTGCTAATGTCATTAATGTGTTTCTCTCTAATATCTACCAAAAAGGCATCCGATTTTGTAATGCAATATTTTTAAGGCATTTATCATCATAAAATAATTCTAATCAATTTTTTTTATGTTGAGTTTTCAATTTTGCCGTCATTTTTCGAACAAATACACGTGAAACACGTTCCTTGGATTCAGCCTCGTTTCCACGCTAAAATTGGCTTTGAGATAAGCGCATATTTGGCCTTTGTTCCTCTTTCCAAAGTCAATTTCTCGCCACACAACCTTAAATATTAATTTAGTCGTAAATGTTCCGATAACAGGAATTTAAATGGGCCAGAATTGGGGAAAATTTCCAGTCATGTTACCACTCAACTTGTAGATATAGACTTGCTTATGACTTTTAGGTAGTTTTAGAAGAATTTTAATACTTAACGTTAAAGTTCTAAAGTCACTACTGATGTTAAACTGTTGGCCACAGATGTTGTTAATCCGAACTTGTTATTTGAAGTTACAACAACAGCTCCAGAGCTTGAAGGAATTCTATGTAAGATCAACATAAACAAGGCACCTGGTGTAGACAACTTACCAGCCCGTATTTTACGGACTTGTGCAAAAAAGCTTTCTAGTCCACTTGCCCATTTGTTTAATTTATCCCTGAGAACCGGGAAAATGCCCACTTTATGGAAATCAGCCAATATTAACCCAATTCATAAGGGAGATAGCAAGGAGCTTGTTACCAGCTACAGATCTATCTCGTTATTGCCAATCCCGGCCAAGTGCTTAGAACGTATTGTTCATTCTGCTATCTATGATCATGTCTCACCATTTTTAACTGAGTGGCAACATGTTTTCATTATTAAGGTAGATCCTGTGAGACTCAACTGATTTTAACCCATCATCAATGGGCTACTGCCCTTGATAAAGGCAGACAAGTTGATGTAGTCTTTTCAGACTTTTCCAAAGCCTTTGACAAAGTGAACCATGCAGTTTTGTTGCAAATGTTGTGCAACTTTGGGATCACTGGCTCATTACTACTATGGTGTGAAAGTTATTTAAGCAATCGCCGACAGAAAGTAGTGCTGGATGGTATATCCCTCTTCCTGGTCCGATGCCTCATCTGGAGTTCCTCAGGGCTCTTTATTAGGGCCTTTATTTTTTTATATTTACACCTTTTACTGTTCATTACGAGAAAATACGCCATCACTTGCGTGAAACGGCGACCAATACTGCGAAGATACATTCATTAGCGCAAAAATACGAACATTTGGGCGTAAATCAGATTCAATTACGATTTCTGCATTTTAATCAACATTCAATAACATTTTTGGGCATTCATATGCGTCACTGAGCATACAAAAGAGAAAAATATACTTTCATTAACGCCAACACCAAAGTAATTAACACCATCTTGAAAGTCAATAGGGACAACTGACATACATTTAAGTGCAAACACTATTCATTAACATTTTTATGACACTGTTTGCAATTCAACAGCATTCCTGGACAACCTTAGGATGGATAAGACAAACATTAATGCGCTTGTACAATCAGTTGAGTGTTCTTTACATTTAATATACAAAAATCGGTTATCAATTAAACAACAGAAATTCAAACAAATTTGGCCTGAGTTTCAGTCCTTTAAATGTATATCCCTAAAAAACCTCGCTATTGAAACATTTGGGGAGGTAGGTTTGCACGAAATAGTACCCTTTAGCACATTTAGCTGCGGTCACAATGTCATGTTTCTGTGCAGAGCTTCAAGGACTGCAATTGTTGTTTCCGAACTATGCTAGTGGGATTGCTAGGGCTTTGCCCTCATT